AACAAAAACAAAGCACAGGCTGAAAGAAATAAAGGGTGTGGTTCTGATGCTCCCAGGCACAGCTTACAGGCCAAGCTGCTGGGCTTGAGTTTTAATGTTATTTATCAGTTTCACTCCCAGACTTATCTGCAAGGGTGAGTTAGCCTTTGACAGGCTATTGAATGTGGGGTTGGGGGGAGCTTTTATTTGGGAGTGAATAGAGGTGTTAGGTCTTCTGCTTTGAAAGCTTAAAATATTATTAGAACAGAAGGTGCCATAAGAGATCCATGATTCTTAGGAATGAGGCAGGCTGATGTGTGTACGCACTGTCTCTGGAGTTCAAACCCCCAGGGTTCCTCGGACATACTAGGCACCTTCCTCCCTGTCACCTACTCCTCCCTGGAATGGCTGAAGAGGTAAAGCAAAAGCAGAACAGCTCTGTGCAGCCAAGCCCACTTACGTCACTTTACTCCCAGCAGAGAACCCTCTGGAAGTATCCCCAAAGGTCCCACTATGGGACCATCAACAACTGGATGATTTAAATAAATATTTAATTATGTGTGGAATAAATGAGAGAACTTATCACTTTTGCTTTCAAAAGTTTCTGAGAATGATTTTGGCTTCTGGCTCCTACAGTAGGAACATTTCTAGCAGTCTGCACTGTTCCTCCTTTGGCCCAAGGCCCACGAGCCCTGACCATCACCGGAGTGTCTCCTAGTCAAAGTCCTGGACAAGAATGAGTAGTGACCCACTGACCTGTGGGCATATGCACCCTGCACCTGGATCACGGTCAACTCCAGCCCTCGCATCTCCTTTCCTAGGGAAGGGATACCCATTCTAGCTGATTCCATGGAGCCTTCTCAGCCTGCTCCCCTACGGCATGTATCCTTTGTCTTCTCATCCTGCTCTCAGCTTCATAATGAGGTTGTATTCTCAGACTGAGAAGTCAAAAACGTGTCTCTAATTGTCAAGGGCGGGGGGGGCGCCTGGGTGGCTCAGTTGGTTAAGCGACCGCCTTCGGCTCAGGTCATGATCCTGGAGTCCCGGGATCGAGTCCCGCATCGGGCTCCCTGCTTGGCAGAGAGTCTGCTTCTCCCTCTGACCTTCCCCCCTCTCATGCTCCCTCTCTCCCTCTCAAATAAAATCTTAAAAAAAAAAAAAAAAGATTTAATTGTCAAAGGGGGATGCTCAGGCCATTCCAACAGAAGAACACGACTTGCTTTTTTTGAGGCTAGGTCAGTGATAAAACCTTCCTTTCCTTCAGCCCCTTACAAGAGGTGCCCTAGGAGAACAAGCAATTGGGAAGAGTTTTCCTGGCCAAACCAGTATGATCCTACTGAGGATCTGTGAGGCTGGCAGGATTCCTCTGATCATTAGATGGAGGAATAGCAGTTAAGTGAGTGAAAAATGGTAATTGTGCCCAGAAGGGCCCTGCGAGGTCAGATAAAATGCACGGGTCCTAGTGAGCCAACTCCAAAATGGTCCTGGATGACTCACTTTCCTAACCAAAGGTCTTCTTTCTCCTCCTTCGTGGTCTCCTACCTCTCTGGGGCCAGAGGCTAGAGGAAGCTTTGCCCCCTTTGCCAGAACTCCCACTCCCAAGTCTGAGGAACAGGATTTGGAATGGCCTCCACGTGAGGCAGAGACTCACTCTGGCCTTTTCCTGCACAAATGCAATGCACCTCTGCCAAATGCATTCCTTCCAAAAGCCTAGGTCTTCTACCATGTGTGGAGTGTCTTCGTTGTCTCCCTTAACCAAAGTCAGTTCTTCCCTTAGAGTAAACGATGCTGGCAGCCAAGTGAGTGCTTGGATATCAATACTCACTACTCACACCACGTTCTGTGTGAACCTATGGTCCGATCCATACAATGCTAGGGCACTCACTCCCTCCAACCCCAGGTGTCCCTAGGACATCCTGATTCGTCCCGGAAATCAAACTGACAGCTCAAAGTGAAGGAATTAGAGCCACAGGCCCGACTGGCTCATAACCACTTAAAAAGGGGTTTAACAAGATCCAAAATGCTCCATCCTGGCTAATAAACAATGTGCTCTTAGGGCACAGAGAAAAAATAGGGCTTTAGGCACTAAAAAGTGACACTTCACCCAGATCCAGCCTGGGAGAAGACCAGAGAGAAGGGCGGGGGGTGGTGGGAAAGTAAGAAATTCCCAGCCCTTATTGGGTCCACACCAAACAGGGGTTAGGGGAAGGTGCAGGGGTGATGGAGGAGAACCCCATTCCGCATGCACGTCCTCGGGAGCCTGCGGCTCAAGGCCCAATCCCGCAGGGGCAGCTTTCCCAGCCTTCCAGGCCTCTGCCTGACTGGGGGCGCATGGTCCATAGAAAGCGGGGGGTTGGGGGGCTGGGTGGGGCTCAGGTGGCAGAGTTTAGATTGGGCTCTTGCCCTTGATGCTTCCTGTTCACAAGAGAATACCTGGGGAAGCGTGGGGTAGGGAAGAAAAGATTCTCTTTTATTTTGGAAACAAATCAAGAGGGGATTCGGGAATGAAGCACCTTAAGCCCCTTGAGATTTCGAGATCCCAGGGTCTTCACAGGCGTCACTTTGGCTCAACAACATTTCCCTTCTCAGAGCCAGGAATGGCCAGTGAGGGGAAGGGGGGGGACGAGGCGGGGGGTGGGGGGGGGAGGAGGAGGATCAGGGGAGGTCGGTGTGCTGAGAGGTGGTCCCTGCCCTCCTCGGACCCTCCACCGGCCAGCACAGGAGGTGGGCCCGCTCCTTCTCCCTGGTACATAGGCGTTATCTCTTTTTAAAATCTGTATATAATATATATATATTTATATTCTGTATATATATATTTATATATATCTATGTATATGGTCTATGTACACGTATTGCACGGGCCTCTCGTAGCCACCCCGTTCCTGCCTTGTCAATGATAACGACTCCTCTTCTCTTCACTTTCTGAAGTGTAGTCGCGGGACCTGATGCCGTTCTGAAGGTTGATGAGAGAGTCCTTCATCTGTAAGACAGGGAAGCCCGCCCAGCCCCGGGTTTGTGCCCTCAGTGCACTACTCTGCCACGCCCGCCCGGGGCAGTTCCCCCAGCACGCCGGCGAGGTCAAGGAAGCCGGGCTCCTAAGACAAGGGTTCTCCTAGGACGCGGTCTCTGGCAGAAAGGGAAGAGCCAATCTAGCACTGGGAACCCCTGGGGTGAGGTTCACTGTGTCTTCATGATTAAGGATTAAGAATTCTCTCTCTCGGGGCACCTGGGTGGCTCAGTCGGTTAGGCGTCTGCCTTCGGCTCAGGTCATGATCCCAGGGTCCTGGGATCGAGCCCCGAGTCGGGCTCCCTGCCCAGCAGGCAGTCTGCTTCTCCCTCTCCTGCTCCCCCTGCTTGTGCACTCTCTCTCTAATAAATAAAAAATATTTTAAAAAAATGAAGGGAATGAAACAAAACACCTATCCACACCTATCCTAACGCTTACAGAGTTGAGTCCGCCACGCTACAATTCTGACTGCCCCGCGCTCCAATGTAAGGGGCCCCATCTTGACACCGAATTCTGGAGTTGGAAGAGAACCGGGTCATCCAGTCCAACTGCCTCCTACTTAATTCTTAGGTTTCTTATCTGACATCATCTGGTCACCCCTTGGGCACTTTCGGTGATAGAATCTCAGGCCTTCAAAGTAGCCCATTCCATTACTGGATAGCCTGATTGTCAGTGGTCTGTTTCTATTTGATGGCTCATCAAAGCTCCTCCCTCTGCCCTGTAACTTCTAGCCCCTGGGGTCTCACGAGCAATCTTTCTATCCTTCTACCTGGTGGACCTCTATGTCTGAAGACTACCCTGTTCTCCCTGCCCCCATCTTTCCTTCTCCTTCCTGTATCTTTAATTCTATCAACCCTTCTTGATATCGCAGGGCTCCTAAGCCCCCTGCTGGGCCATTTACCCCTTTTGTCTAAAAAAAAAAAAAAAAAAATCCATGGCTCCAAAGCTAAACATGATATTCTAAAACACATTAAATTGGATCCTGATAGCCACATTAAAATCCTCTCTCCTCAATTTAGAGCTAAGACCATGCTACGAAGGGGAAGTAAGATTTAGTAATAACGAATGCCTCCCCTGTGCCCTCAAATCCTGACAGCAATTTCGTGAAGTTATAATTATAATTCCCATTTTATAAGTGAAGAAACCGTGAAGTCACTCATATTAAATCCCTCACTCAAGGTCACAAAACTAGTCCTTGGCAAGACTGGGATTCCATCTCAAGTCTGGCTGACCACCCAACATAAAGAACTCCTTAGGAACAGAAAATTTTAATGGAACAGGACAAATCCTTTGTCTCCTATCTTCTTAATTCTCTCGTAGAGCAAAGGTAGCTTCTTGCTGTCTTGGCAACTACGTGGGAGTTTTGTATAAGACATTAACTTCTGGGGGAAGGAAGCCAAGTTCCTCCCTCCTTTGATAAAACTAAACTTACTGATTTTGCTCCAGGATCATTTTCTTAAATAGATGAATGAATGTAGTTTTTGGAAGGAACACAGGCCCTTGTACTAGAAGATGTTACAAAAAGATGACCCAGTACAACCACCATCTTCCCAGACTATCCATGCAGCCTCTGAGGAGAAAGGACGTGTTGGGGATTGTGTGTTGGTTTGTGTGTGTGTTGAGGTCAGGGGGAGGCAGTGGCATAGAGCAAAAGGAACTAGAAAAATATGCCCTCTGGAAAGATAAATCTCTGTGAAAGGAGGTTCTCTCTTTAAATGCCTGTCACATGGCCATGAGTGACCAAGGCAGGGAAAAAAAATCAGTCCTTCCATCTAACCTACAACTTTCTTGCCGCCAATTTCCATTGTTATTGTCTGAGGGAGTACACCTGTGTTTCCAACAACCCATTCCAGGATGACTTTAAAATCAGAACAGTGGATGGCCCAGGGGAAGTATGAATGGGAGGCTGAGGTCCGGTGGGTGGTGATGGGGACGGGGAGATCTCTCCCAGAGCACAGGGAAGGGGCTCATCTCTAGAAGATGAGGGCAAGGAGAGAAGGTGGGGACATCTCACCTGGTCAAGAAGCATCACTGAGGATTTGATGATCTCCCTCCATTTTTGGAGCTCTGTATCGTGGTACTTTTGTTGGGACTCCAAGAGCTGGGCCCATTCTGTCTGAGACTGGGGTAACCTGTGGGGCAGAAGAAGGGGTACCCCGGCAGCTGGAGTTATGCTCACTGGACTGTCCTGTGCTCCCAGACCCCTGAAGGACAGAGAGTCACATCAGACTGCTTTGTCCTTTGCTCAGGGCCCCTGGTTCCCGTGCCCCAGGTCAGAAGCAGACTAAATTCTACAGGGACAGTTTTCAGAGCTTGCCTATGGACTCATCCCAAAGGGTTACCCACTGGCCAAGGGCAGCGGGGCCGTCCCACAGAGACTGGGTGGCAGGAGCTGGGGCACGGTACCGGCTGGGGTGGAGGTCATGGCCAAGGGAAGAGGCAAGGATTACCTTTCTTGGAGCCTCAGACCCTGCCAGGCAGTGAGGGTCTGGGTGGTGTATTCCAACATCCAGAGTTTGTAGAAGAGCATCATGTTAAGGATGACCAGCAGCACCAGACTGGGAAGGAGACAAAGAGGGACAAAAGCAACAGGCATGAGATGTAATCTTGAGAATGCACGCTCCCTCTAAGAGCCAGGGATCACCCCCCACCCTCCCAGAGGCAGCTGCTGTCCTTGACCATTGGTCCCCTGAAGCATGGCGGTGAGGGAGGGAGAGGGAAGGATGCAGCTGGCGGGGAGAGGGAGTGAGCGGGTGCTCTCATCTGGAGGGGCCAGGACACAGCAGAAGCGCCATGGAGAGGCGTGTGGGTGAAGGCACTGGGACAGAGAGACACACAGGAGCCACCCAGACCCTGGGTGCCTGTGGGAAGAGGTAAGATGGAGAGGGAAGGAGATGAAGGGTAAACGAAGCAATCAGAGAGCCAGTACCTGAAACAGATCCTAATGGGAGCAAGGAGGAAAAATGGGGAGGAGGCAGAGGTTAGAACAGACCAGTGCGGGGATGGGGAGGGCTGCACTGGAACCAAGCCAGAGAGCAAGGGAGTCTGCGGGAAAGAAACACGGGAAGTGAGGACACGCGGATGAGGAGACCGAGCAGGCAAGGAGCAAGAGACAGCGGCTGCAGACAGATCTTGGTATGTCAAGGGCGACACATGGAGGCAAGTCCTCCTACCCAGCCAACCTGAGGCACGACAGAAGGGCGAAGCTGTGGCCTATGGGCCTGATCCGCCCGACAGGTGTTAGCAGGATGCCCCAAAGCATGGTCTCATCTTTGCACCTGCCTTGCACCTGCCCAGACCCAGAGGGGTCGTGAGGGTCCCTGGTATGGGCCAGCACTGGTCAGGGCCAGGGAGGGGGAAAGGAGGACCCAGGGGTACAGAGAGCCGCCAAAACACCGGGGGCGTTCCCTTCTTCTCTTGGCCTCAGTGGCTGCCACAAGCTCATCTTAGGACACAAGTTCATGGAGCAGAGAGATGAAGACTAGGGGAGCAAGGGGGTCTGGAGACGCACGGGACTGGGTACAGTCCTGGCTCACTGCTTCAGGGTTCTTAACTTCTGATGGAGTTCCCCAGCTTCTCTGAACTCTTCTCTGGACCCCTTCTCTGAATGGTTCCTATCCTGCTGGGGCTGCGACGTGCGTGGTGTGAGGAAGTGGATGGAAAGCTCCCTGCACAGAGGAGCTCCTCAACAACGGGCGGTTTTATCATGAAAGGAGGGGGTACAGGGACACACACAGGAAAAGGGAGACAGAATGAACGATGGAAAAGGACCAACAAAGAACATCTTATGCTGTGCCTTTGACCTTTCGAAGTGTGCGCTTGCGCGTGCGTGCGTGCATGCAAGATACTGCGTTCTTCTCTGTGCTTCCAGTATTAGGGAAGGCGGTACTCCTGAAGCTGGCAGCAGCCAGTCCTTGACCCCATCTAGCTGTGCTCTCAGGGCTCTGTGACTTCTCCAGAACAATCTCTAAATTTCACGTTGACTTTCAATGACCCCACCTTTAACTGCATCCACACGCGCCAGAGGACCTGAATGTCCACCTCTTCAGCGTGGGCTGCATACATCTGAGCTCCTGCATTTGGGTCTATGTACAATCCTGCCTGTGCTCAGTGGAGGTCCAGGGACACCCCTGCGAGCTGAAGGAAGGGCCTGTGGTCCACACAGAGAACAGAGGGGGCCTGCCGGACGCAGGGCGGTCTGATCCACATGCACACGGTCAGCAGACCCGCCGCCTGGACCCTCAAAGTGTTGAAGATGAAGTCCCATGATCTTAATCCAACAAAGCCCCCATGTCAGCTAATGCCATGCTATGCCATTTACTCAGGAGAGCGGGCCTACTTAACTAAGTCAGCCTGCAGAGAAGGCTCAAACAGAGAACTTACCTGAGGTTCAAGTTTTCTATCTACCAAACCCAACACCAGAGACTTAACAGAACAGCACGAATCCCCTCAAATGGAGGTTGCTAAATGGAAATCTTCCTGGTTTCACAGCTGTCTTTGTAGATGACTTTGTAAAAAAGACCTTGGCTCCTCAGGCCACAGGCAGAAGAATTCTCCCCCTCTGTTTTTGTTATACACGCAGTCAGGGCAGAGGAGAGCCCGCCTCCCGTTCCTCACAGGTCCCCCCTGCTTTCAGTGGTGCCCACACCTTGCCTGTGGCCCTGTTTTCTCTCTCACACTCGGCGCTGTCCTGATATGGTCTCATTCTCGCTCGTGGCTCTCATGCTCCCGCTAACTACATCAGCATCGATGAACTATGCTTCCCCGCCTTGCTCCGGGTCCGCATCGGCAAGTACTGGTCACCTCCACCTGGATGCCCTACGGCCACTCAAGACACAGCTGGAGTCCAGAGCGTCTTCTCGGACAGCTCTGCGCCCCGTTCGGGTTTCTAGTAACGACACAACCGTTCATGGGTGCCCACCACAGTCCTTCCTCTTCTTCGGCTACCCGACCAGATGGCTAATTGGTCTTTGGTCCCTCCCCTGCTGGACAGTCACGCTCACCTACGTCGCTGCCACTTACTTGGACCAGCCTGCCTGCCTCCAGTCCTTTCTTCTCTAGGCCTCCCCCCATGGTTGTCAGAGTGACTTAACAACAACAACAACCAAAACAATCCTGTCACACTCCAGGGCTCCTTCAGGGCTTCCTGATGGGTCTGGCTGTGCCTCTGCTTCTGCCTCTCTGAAAATGCATTAGTGGGGGCCTGAAGGAGTGGGGAAGGGGTGTCATAAAAGAAAGAGCCAGAGACAGGCTAGTGCCCGGTGCAGAGCTGTCAAGGCCCGCATCTGGGCAGCTCCCATGCCACTCCCCCAACCTGTGCCCCCACATGCTCACCCCCATCTCCAGGTAAGGTGGGGGGAGGGTACCCGGCAGCAGGCTGAACCAAGCAGAAGAGCTGTCCGCACTCAGCTGTCCCAGGAACTCCCTGCTCCCAGCGGTTCAGGGGTGTCCCTGGAGGGCTCTGGGCTTCCACTGCAGACAGCTGTGCCCTCCCACCCTGCCCGAGCATTCCTTCCCCCCTTCCTCTCTCCCTGCCCAGCATCCTCCTGGGAACGTTACTGAGCCTACTGCTTTACAACATGATGGCAATACTGTAAATTACTGAACTATTTCTGGACAGTGGTCATTGATTTCGTCTGGCTATCCTGCCAAAGTGTGGGCCCAGGAGTGCCCGATCCTGGCGCCCGGCACAGAGCAGATACTCGGGACCTCCCTCACAAGTGAATGAATGGGCTTCTAAGACGCTGTGTGGCGTATCTATGTTATCATTTCTCCAACGGTGTAGCAGTTCTGAATTTCCTGTCTTACCCACTTGAAACTGAGTTCCTAAGGGTATGGATGCTGTATACAGCGTTCTGTTCTCAATCCTGAAGGCTTAGCTTACAGCAAATGCCAAATCAAACAGAGAAAAAGAAACAGAGAGACCAGGAATGATGGACAGAGCAAGTGATCTGAAGAGAGAAGGCTAGAGGACAAAGAAGGGCCACGGTAAGGGGTGCTCATACGCCTGAGGAGCCAGCAGACGGGGAGGGAAGGTGATGGGGCAGAGGCGGGGAGGAGAGCTGGGATCCCTTACACACAGCTGATAACCAGCAGCAGCTTGGACACACTCTGCAGGTGGAAACCATTAGGGGTGTCCTCGGGGATATGCCGTGTCTGCGTGGAACCTGTGGGGAGAATAAAGAGGCCATCACCACGGTGGCTCACGAGTCCCCTGGCTGCCGTGGCAGCGGTCACGCACAGAGCTTCCGGGAATGACGGATACACCCAGCCCTCCGAAAGTACAAGGGAAGCCCCTCAAGGGCAAGGTCAGGGGCTGGGTCAGGCAAAGTGGACATTCAAGTCACCGAACAAACAAGAAACTCAACAGCCTTACAGAGCTAGGACATGTGGAGGCGGGACAAAGTGCTCTGCAGCGTAGCAGTAGCCGTGGCACAGACAACCGCACTGGGCTGGGACCAGAGACCGCTTTCAGCTCAGGCTTTGTCTGTAACCAGTGATGTGACGTTGAGCAAGTCTCAACTGCTCTCGGAGAGTCAGTGTATTCACATATGCCATGCTAGTCAGAAATCCTCTATGTGAGGGATGTAAGGGAGTGCTCTGGTTGAAGCTGGGAGTGGGGGGGGGGGGCACGGAAGGCTGGCACTCTCCTCCTCTCCTGTCCCCATCCTGAGGAACGCCCAGGGGTGTGCAAAGCATAGCCTGAAAGACGCTGGATTAGTGGTCTCTGAGGCTTCTTATGGCTACAGGTCGCCATGACCGAGTGAAGACATGAGGTTGTGTGTGGCTGGATGGGAAGAGGGAGACACGTCACGGGAGTCCGCTGCCTGGGAGGGCAGGTCCCTGATGGGCCTGTGGGGGCCACGTGATCTCGGACTCCCTGACGTGTGTGTCAGGAGGGCACCTCTGGCCTGAGCTGTGGCTTCTCCCCAGTGCTTTTGCCAAAAACTTGGAAGCTGCTCGTTTGAGTCTATCAAGGCGGACATGGAGTTCAGGGAACTTCTGTTCAGCAGACCCCCCATGTGGGTTCAGCAGTGACTGAGGAACATAAAGGGCAAAAGGAAACAGGTAGAGGATCCAGAGGCTGAATAATGAGTTAGGGGCAAATTACATACGATCTATACCCAAGGACGCAAAATGAGTGCATACGTGTAGGTCTTGGCACAGGCATGCAGCTCGAGCCCCGAGCCCCGTCCCCACTGCCAGACAGCACGCACCTGCCACGTGTTTGATCCTGTGGCCCACATCTTCATCAGTGGGTGTGGTGACGGGGCTCATCACTTCTTCCAGGTGAGGCACCCGCAGATGGGCATGGGGACGTTTCCTCCTCCGGACCGTTGGGGCCTTGCTGGTCTTCTCTTTGGGAGACTGTCTGTGCATCTCAGCCAGGTAGGTGCTCTCCGTTTTGGTCAGCTCGCTCTCTGTCAGAGACAAAAGGCCACCTGCCTGTACCTCTAGCCCCACGCCCTGGCCCCCAGAAACAACTCTGTCTCCTCCTCGCTGAGCCCTCTCTGAGAGAACCATTTTCCTGGACGGCACTCTGGGACGTTGACTGGGAGGGCAGGGGTCCCTCAGGCGTGGCCACGAGCCTCAGGAAGTACCGCTGGGACGCAGCCTCACCCCCCTTCTGGGTTTTGCTCAATATCGTGCAGAGACAGAGGTTCCCAGTATCTGCACCCTCAGGTAGACAGTTGGGGGCACGTCACAGGTCCTAACGGACACACTCATAGGCTCATTCTCCCTTTCTGTAACTGAATTACCACCGGTGTGATGAGATGTGGAGTTCATGTGCTGGGGGTTGGGGGTGGCCACAGACCCCATAAAATCACAGGCATAGCCTCTTGGAAAACACACGTGTTCACAGACCTGCCAAATTGTGTATCCATTTCTGGGGCCACCTCAGGGCCCTCATGACACCCCTTCACCATCTCAGGGTGGCCCCCATTTTCTGTGCTTCCCACACTCCCCTGAATGGTGGCAGCTGTGCAGCCGAGCCGGGGTCTGCGGCCTTGCTCACCTAGGTGGCGGAAGTAGTCCTCCAGCCCGCTCCAGAAGTTCTTCTCGATGAAAGTTTTCACCAGCCCCCACGGCTGTTTTCGATAGCGCAGCTCTGTGGAGACCCTGAGGAGCAAGCCAGAAACGAGATCAGCCATTTCCGGGGCAGACCCTCCTCTGCCGGGAAAGGCCCTTCACACCACACCCACTGTGCCATCTGATCTCCCTGGCCACTTCTGGAGGTCAGGGGGAACGGGCGGACTGATCCTCATTTTATGGGTGAGAAAATGGGAGTTCTAGAATAGTCCAGCAGACCAAAGGCTACCACACAGGGCTCCTGACTCCGGGCCCATAGTTCTTTCATGAGGCCACGCCGCCTCCTCCAGACGGTGCCAGGCAGCCAGCCGGCCGTGGGGGGGTTCTTCTCTTCTGCAGAGACTTGCCAGTCCAGATCAGACTCTAGGGTTCCGTGATTCCCACTTTTAGGGGAGTAATCTGCCACCGGCCTGGGCTCCTGCCTCTGCACCCCATGAGACCTCGCCAGTTCTCACTTTTTTCCCAGTATTCTCTCTCCCAGCCACAGGTCTCTCTGCTGCCCGTGCTGCCTGCTTACCAGCCCCTTCCTCCCCTCCACAGCCCTGTGTCACTGCAGCGCCCGGCTTATGTTCCCGTTCTTAAGGCTGCCTACGCCGCTCTCCCTGCCGTCCTCGGGGACACCGCGGCCTGACGTGAGCAAGCCGATGCTTGCGCGCCACCTCACCACCACCCCCCACCCCGCCACCCGGCAAGTGTTCACGGGATTACGGGTGGGTGCCTTTCTGGAGAGGTTTATCGGAGGTCAACAGGCTACTTCTGTGTGAACTGGGGAAAGAAGGGACGTCTACTCAGAAGACTCTCCAAAGAAGCTGGAAGTGAGAAGTCTAGACAGCGTGGGCAAGGATGGCGGGGGCAGGAGGGAGGAGAGAGGGCTGAGGGAAAGGGAAGGACGGAAGGAGGTACAGATACTCAGACAGAGGCACAGGTATCAAAAAAAAAAAAATATGTATGTATTTTCTTAAAGAAGAGGATGGGAAGGACGCAGGCCCTTTCTGAGATCTGGGTGTTCAGAACGTCCCGATTCCTGAGAGGTCTCTCTCTAGCCTTTCACCAAAGCCCCGTTTTAGTGCGACTGCATGAGCGAGGACACCCAAGCACACCGGGGACCTCCTGGGAACCCACGCAGGCCCTCCAGACGCTGCACCTGAGTCGACTCTTGTTCCGAGCCACGCGGGTGAGAGTGTAGCGATTGATGGTGTAGAAGTAGTCGTGGTAGGGCACGTCGTGCGTGAGGACCTCGGCATCTATCACGTAACATTCGCTCTCCTGGCTCGCCTTGTACATGGTCTGGGGGGGAGAAGGGACAAAACTTAAGAGAAGCAAGACGGGAAAAACACTGTCCTCCCTACTCCCAGACGGAGGACCCGGAACCAGTGGAAATGGGCAGCCTGGTACGTGTCCCCACCTCGGGGCCCAGTGACACTTGCACCCAGAAACGTCTTCCTCGCGTCCACCCTTAATCCTTCTCAGCAGGACAGAGGCTCTTCCCGCTGCTCTTCCGTGCCCCTGTGCTCAGCTCACCTGTGTCTCCCTGACGGTGGCAGTTTTAGGAGCCAGAGGGTTGGTAAGGGTGATGGTGTAGAGGATCACTCGGCTCTGGTTTCCATTCTCTTCCTTCTTCCACGGATGGAAGATGATATCTGAGGGTGGACAAGAGTCCTGGAATGAGGGAGGAAGAGAGGCACGGCCATGCCATCTCTGAATTTCCCCTCCGAGTGAACTCTTGACTGTACTGACGGACGACTGGCCCCCAACAGGAAGCCAATGGGAGCCCGAGGGCCCCGGGAGGAGGGTGGGGGGGAAGGGGGAGTCAAAGCAGAAAGAGGCTCATTGTAGCATTGCCGGAATTCTACCCGGGGCTCCAGAATGCTGACTGTTCCTGGGGCCGGGACAGGAGGTCTGGGGGCCCCCTGCGGGGGTGCTGGCAACACTGGAGTCACTGTGGCAAGGGCCTGGGATCCTTGGGAACGAGTCCTTTCCTCTAAGAGACAGCCTCCGCGTGCCCTCCGCCTGCCCTCTCCTCCTGGCCGAGGGCTACGCTGATACCCGGATGTTCTTGCACAGAGTCGGGTGCCCGGCAGCTCTGCCCAGCCGGAGCCACAGCCCCTGCTCTGGGCAGAACAGGGGTAGGGGGGGTGGGACAGGAGCCAAGCAGGGATGCACAGAGTCCTGGGTGTGAATCCTGACCCGCGCCCTGCTTGGCTGCACGGCCCTGGGCAAGTGAGAACCATAGGAGCTCTGGTTTCATCCTCGGTACCCTGGGGATCGCAATGCTCACACACGCGGCAGGTCCAAGGGTGGACCCGAGATGAGGTGATTCTTTGCGAGACCGTGAGCCCTGGGCGGTCCTGCTCGCCGGTGAGCCTGCGGGTCTGGCACTGAGGGCCTGGCGCACGGTGGGCGAGCATAAAGCAGCAGTGCTGGGGGACGGAGTAGCATGCAGGGCCCTGGGGGTGGGGGTGGGGGGCGGGAGGAGGGTGCCCCCGGGAGGAACTGACCGGAGAAGCGACGCTGCTCCATGAAGTCCCGCTGGAAGGGCGAGTCGGTGAACAGCAGGTCGTAGAGCTTGTCCACGCTGAAGTTGAAGACCTCGTTCACGTACTGCCGGCCACTCAGGTCCTCGTAGAAGGCCTGGACCTCCCCTGCACGGAAGAGGATGAGGAAGGAGAGGGTGAGGGCCGAGGGGCGGGCGGCCCCAGGGACACCCCCCCAGGCCACCAAGGGTCAAGGGCGGCCTGTGTGGGCAGTGGTTCATGACCTCGCATCTGTCCGTCTCCTCCTTTGCCGGCACACACACAGCTCACTCGAACCCGCCTTCTGTTCAGCCTTCCTTGACAAAGACTATGGGAATGTACTGTTTGCTTTTAGTTTTTCAAGCCTTCCTAAGGAAGCTGATCTCAGACTAAAATTTAAATCAAGGATGACTTCCTGAACCCAGAAGTTATCAGTTACCCAGTCTGTAAGTTAAGCACAACCGATGACACATGGCATTGCAACCATGGTACAGGGGCATTAAAGGGACGTGGATCCATCTGGAATGACCTGTTTATAGAAAAGCTTCGAAAGCTGGGCTGGACTGTAGGGCCGCGCTCTCTAACCACCCAAGGTCGGCTCCTCTTCCATAAGGCAGCCTGTCTCCCCCAGGGTTTCAATGCCTGTCACTTTTCTCAGGTTTCTGTCTGCTCTGAGAGAATGTGCCTGAGAGTAGAGGTGTGCTGCTAAAGCCCCAGCACTCCTCCCAGGCCCTCGGCACCCCATAGTCCCTAAATCGCTGCACCTACAGAAGCTGGCGTGTGGTCTCAAGCAAGATGCCGACATTCCTGGTGCCCCTGCGGCTCAGAATCATACAGAGCTGGTGCCTGTGTCCGTAGAGGATAAGCACTGTGTGAGCGCAGCTGGGGGGGAATAGTCATATCTGAGTTGATGTGCATGGCGCCCCTGTTGTTGTGCAGTACCCAACCTGTGCAATCATTGGCACTGGCCCTGCATCCTAGATGGGAGTGGGGAAACCAGCCAAGGGTGAGGAAACCACTCGAGCGGACCGTCGGAGAGACTGTCCACAGATGTTTAAATGAGCACTGTCTACATACACTCACTAGTCCTAGTCTACCACCAAGTCAGTGGGGATCAACCCATTTCATGAATACTGACAATTAGGCCTCTCGGCTCCAGAAACGCCAGAGGCAACGCATGCCTGAGCCAGGTCTTAGAAGCTGATCTGATGCAGGATTGAAGTAAAAAATACTACCTAGAAATACTACAGAGAAGGACAGGTTCCAGAGTCTGAGTCACCCAGCAACACCTTTTCTTGCAGCCTGATCTAAAAGCCCGACGCTGGAGTCACTAAAGCAGGTTTCTATTAAAATCTCATTATTTCCAGGAAGCAGCTGACTGGCACTTTCCCGTGGCATATAACCACTGCCTTGCCTTGCATCTCTATGAGGAACAGTGTTGCAGGGCAAGCCCGGGTTGACAGGGGGCACATTTAGTGGCAAGACTGGATGGCAGGACACAGCATGATCCATCGAGTAAAGAAACACAAATACGGAATGATAAGGATTCTGCAGTGGTTGTTCGGAAAATGTCTGTATGTTAATAACAAATGAACCCACCCTTCCCCCCGGAAACCCAGAAACTGACTTGACTCCAGCCTCCATAAAGGGACACCCTGTTAGCCTTCACATGGAGAGGAAGGGCCACTCTGCACACCCACGTTCAAACGCCCACCTTCATCATGGGTGTCAGAAGAGTCACTGAGCTCTGTGGGGATGTCCTCATTGTCATTGAAGTCCAGCGAAGGGGAGGTCACAGGTGCGATGACCTCAATCTTCTCCCCGATGATGTTGTCAATGGCAAGCTCCTTCTCCAGGGACCCATCCCCCTCTAGCGCCTCCTCCTCCAGGGGCAGGCCATCGAACTGGGGTGGAGACAGAGAAGTCACCCAACAGGGCCAACCTGCTCCGGGGCCCCTCTCTAAAGGGAGGTTAGGGACCTGGCCTCGGGAGCCCTCATGTTCACAACACAGCTGCTCAGGAGCTGGGCTGGAGTCATGCTCTAGGGGTTTTCCCCAGCTCTGCCATGGAAGACGGGAGAACCCAGGAGAAGGTTCCGACCTCGTCCTGCTCACCATTACATAGCGCACCAGCCCCAGCAGTGAGCAGAGTTAGTACCTTCCGTCTCAGCAACGCTCCTGGAGCCACACTCCCCCCATGCTACCTGTCGGCCTGCTTCTCACTAGGACTCGTCTACTATGAGGCTCAAAAGCTTTGTAAGCATTTTTTAATTTATTCTCCCCTTAGCCCTAGAAGGGAATAGATATAAGCCTTTATATTTTTAAGACAACCTCAGAGACGGAAAACGGAGATGAGGCACCAGATGAATGATGTTTTCATTCTAAGGCCAGGTGGTCTGACCCTTAAGCCACTGGAACACGAGGCTCCCCTCTCTGGGAATCCTTTCTAAGAAACCCCGCCCATTCTCCTACCCGCCAGGGCACCCCCAACACTTCCTTCATCAAGCTCCCATTCCCTCTGTAACCAAGTCTCAGAGAACAAAGGCCTTTCTTAGCACATTTTTCTCCCTTTTGCGAAGTCTAGCACAATGGAAAAATAAGTCCGGAGTGTATACACTAGGAATTAAAAAACTAATTGTTGAATGAGTGAACAGATAACAGGTCTATAGCCCTAGAGTCATGTACGATTTTGATCTCAGATCAAGGCCGTTAAAAAAAAAAAGACCTGGGATAGTTCTCCATAGAGGGGCTGATCTGGAGCAATCACACAATGAACTTGGAATGGTTTTCAAATGCTCAGAAGCCAAATAAAATCTTGTATCCAAGGCACCAAGAACCTGGCTCTGAATCCTGGGACTACAGCATCAGAACAGAGAGCCCACTGGCTCCAGGATGCCTCCTTGAATAAACTGACCGCAGGGTAACCAACCTCCCTTCTCCCTGTTCCCCAGGCCAGGGTCCTGTGGCATGAACTCAGCTGGGAAACACTGGCCACCGGATGAGGGGTGGAAGCAAGGTCGTATCACCCATACCGAGACAGGGGCTTCACTGCTCCCTGTGGATGTCAGTGTGCTGTTGGTGATGGATTTCTTGGGTAGCTGTGGACTGGCATCCGGCTTGGTCTCGATGCTGCTTTTGGATGAGCTGTCGTTCACTTCATTCTCTTCCACAGGGATCTCCTCACAGTAGCTGAGAGAAGACACCATGAATCCCTGTCAACCTCCGCTGCCAAGACCACCGACTATTCTAAGAACCTCACATCTGTCTATCCGTCCCAAACTATGGCTTTCTTGCTTCTTGGCTTTGGATGTGATCTTCCTCTAAACACCACCCCTCTGCTACAGTGCTCTCCTGAAACGTCGTCCCCACCTTGCACTCCGCTCCCCGCGTATTATTTCTGGCTCCAAAGTCACCTTTTCCATGCATTCTCCTTAGATTTAACCCTATCCTATGACCATTATGCGTCCTGAACTATCTTTCTTCCAGTGGCATCCCATCCCATCCCAACCTCACCACTCACAGAAATGCCTGGGCTCTGAGCATACATTTTATGTCCCACACGGTTATGAGGATGGGACCCCACACGAGTGCCCTTTGGTGATAACGCCCAGATTCCGGATCCTAACTAGTGAGCTTCTTTGCCTTGGACACCTGAAGGGGAACGCTCTCTGAGACAAGGGTGGGTGCCCTTCTAGGGACACTTCCGCCTCTCCCAAGGGAGAACTCATCCCCTTCCTCCTCATCTGACTCACACTTTCCCTAATCACCACACGTGGATGCATGACAACTCTGAGTAACCCATGACACGCCTCGTAAAGATAATCGAACAGATACTCACAGAGATTAAATGATAACACTATTGAGTGTCACTAGTCAGCGTTCTTTCCTTGCTTTCCACTGCTCTGTGCCTCGCACACCACCACTGAGCCTCCACCTACCTCCCCACCTCGAGCATATGCTTGTATGGCTTCGAGGCCCCATCCTTCTCAACCCATCAACAGCAGGGGATACAGGGATGCTTCCTTCTCCTACAGCTTCCTTCCCTTGGCTGTGAGGATGTGAGCTCTCCTAGTGCTCCTCCTACCTAGCTGGCTGTTCTTTCGGGTTTTCTTTTGCTGCTGCTGCTTCCTGTTGAGTGCTCCCAGGCCCAGTCCTTGAACTTCTTATGTTCATCCAGCCATTTGGTGGTTTCAGCTAATCTCCTGGCTATCCACTCAAAATTCCCAGGTTTATGTACCTCACCCAGACTTCCCCGGTGAGCTCTGCATTCACATCCACAAATGTCTATGTGACATCTCCATTTAGCCAGCAGTTATCTCAAAGCCAGCTTGCCTGATCTTCCCCCAAGGTCTGATCTGTAGTGCTGTCCATCTCAGTTTGGAACACCTCTAGCCTTCCAGTTGGTAAATCCAAGAAAACCTTAAAGCCATCTTTGGTTCCTTTCCAATCCGTCAGCAAATCCTTCAAAACAGATCTGGTTCCACTTTCAAAATATATTCAGCAACAAACCACTGATTGTCATTTCTACTGCTACCCTCCTGGCCCAAACCACCTTCACATCTCCTCTAACTGATCTCAATTATTCAACAGCCTCTTAGTCTGCCCTTGCTCCCCCCTGGTCTATTTTCAATCCACCAGCCAGAGTGATCCTGTTAAAATGTTAAGTCGGATCTTACCAATTACCAACTCAAAAACCTTCCCCCAGCTTCCCAGCCCACTCTGAGTAAAATCCAATCATAGCACTGGCCAAAAGGCCTTCAGGATCTGGCCCCTGGCCTCACCTCTTCCTGCTGGCCCTTTGTTCATTCCGCCCAGCCACCCACTGGCTATTCCCTCTGCCTGCGAGGCTCTCCCCGCAGGTACCCTCCCTTCCTTCAGGGATCACTTAAGACATTGCTCCGCAGGGAGGCTGTCACCGCCATCCCAGGCCCTCTTGGAGAAGCACCCCGGCAAGCTGCCCTCTGCCTTGCTCACCCCATCGTGTTGAAGTCGTCATCAGGGGGCACGTAGTCCTCATCGTCACTGGTAAGGCCCAATTCATTCCCGTAGCACTGGTGAACGAAGTGCCAGAGCTCCTTGGGGCACAGGGGCTGTGGAGGACAACAGAGGGACTCTGACCCTTCCATCCTCAGGACCCCACTCTACACGGAGGCACTGAGTTGAGCTGGACTCCCCAGGGGGTAGGAGAAGCTGACCTCCGTTCTCCCTTGCTAAACTAAGAGTTTAGCTAAACTAAACTAACACGTCCTCCACTTCCTCTTCCCTCCTCTCAGGATCACAGCAAGATGCCAATCTCTTGCCTAAATATGGCTTTCAGCCAAGCCAGGAATCTGGCCCTGTTCCCACAACTCAGGTTTGTATAATGGGATCGCCTGGCCCCTTAAGGATGGTAGCTATCCATCTTTTGCTCCTATGGACGAGGTCAAGCATTAAGCGTGATATATAGATGTGACTCTTGCAGCCAAGGCGATCCCAGAGCTTCTGATGGGGACTTGGTCCCTTGAGCCAATCTCCCCAACACAAAGAAACCTCCTAATACTAACAGTGGCCACGCAGGCAGGCCCCACTGCTTCACGTCCAAGAATGAGGTGTGACCTCACAGGTGGCCATTCCATAGTTGGACAGCTCCTGTGGTTCAAAAGAAGCCTATATTCTCATAATTTAAGGGGCCTCAAGGTGAGCACATCCAACCCTCTCGTGGCTACCTGAATACTGCCTTCGTTATTCTCGAGTAGAATGAGTTTGCCTACAGTTCTGCGTACTAGCTCCAGTTCCGCATTTCACTGCGTGCTACGTGTCCTCCTCAAAAGTTCTGTCCTGAGAAAAGTGAGCTCTTGTGGGGTTCAGATTTGCGGGAAAGAGGCAACAGAATGTGGGAAACCAACGACTGGAGGGGCCATGGATGAGTCTTGAACTGGGAGCAGGGGCAGAAGGTAGTAGGGTCAGGATTCGAGAAAGTGGGCAAGAGCCTTAAAGAAAACAGAAGGAGTCAAAACACAAAGAAACATTTTACCTCAAACTTAAAGAGGGGCGCCTGGGTGGCTCAGTTGCTTAAGCGACTGCCTTCGGCCCAGGTCATGATCCGGGAGTCCCAGGATCAAGTCCCACATCGGGCTCCCTGCTCAGCGGGGAGTCTGCTTCTCCCTCTGCCCCTCCCCCCTCTCATGTGCTCTCTCTCTCTCTCACATTCTCTCTCAAATTAAAAAAAAAAAAAATCTTAAAAAAAAAAAAAAACAACTTAAAGAATGTTTCCCATCAATAGATCTGATAAAGAATCTGAGAATTCTCTGAGCCCAGCCTTTCCAGGTGTGGTTTAGGAAGCAGGCGGTGCCAGGCTGCCATGAGCCAGGGTTCTGGTCTCCCAACTGAGGAGAACTGCCCAGAACGGCACAGACCAGGGCTCCCCTCCGAGCTGGCAGGTGCTGGCCCTCACTGAGCTGAAGGGAGGCATCTCCTCCTTTCTCTGGGCCTCCTGCCTCCGATCTCTGGCCCTGACATAGACCATTCAACCTTCCTGGGACACATCTGCCTCGCTGCCTTACCACATCCTGCCCTTTGTCACAATTCCCGTTCCCCGAGCACCCTTCCCTGACCCATCCTCCAGGCTCGGCTTGTCTGACCATAAGCAGGACAACGACAATCGGCAAACAGCTGTTGTGTGAGAGCTTCTGTCTTATTCAGAAATGACAGTGGCTGTGAGCTAAAAATCCAAACCAGCCAGTGGAGGTTCAAACACACGATCATTTTACTATTACTGATGGCTAATAAAGGCAGAAGATCACAGCGCAAATAAACTACCTGGATTTGTGCCCTGGCTACAGGCCTTCAGGTTAGAAAAAATTCTAAATAATAAATCTGCTCAGTTTACTTTAGATTGTTTAGGAGTCCAAGTAGATACATATGTGTCATATGTATAATATAGTTATAACCACATAACTTTTCTGTTATGTCTCTTTCCCTGGCTTGGGGCTCTTTCCCAACACCCCCTGGCATCTGAGTGGGAGTTCTCTAAGGAATGCGGCCATATCATCGCCCATATCCGTGTCCCGTCAGAGTCCTTCAGACACTCGAGTAGTCAAGTTGGTGGCCCTATTAACTCTATTTTCCTATTTTCTGAATTTTTGATGCTCTGGCATCTGAGGCCTTGCTGACTGGCGAGGGAACGTCCATCCCAGGGTTAGCTAATTCCCGAGATAGAAAACAACTCGCCCGGAAGTGCACCTTTCATACGTAAGCAGCCAATCCAAAGCCTACACCCTCAACCACCTTCTTTCCCAGCTCCTTCCAGTCTGGGCCAATATTACCTGGCCTTAGGTATCCCAGGGCCAGGCAACGAGAGACAGTCTCTATGTTCTGGAGCCTGATGGAATTATTCAAACTAGCCAATCCTAAACCTGGTTGGCCTGCTTACCCTGCCTCCCCCATGCCTTCCTGCAAAAGCCACAACGTAAGCTATTGCCCATGCTTTCCCCTCTCGCTCTCTGCCTGACAGTCCGTGGCCTCCTTCCCTTCCCCGTGTGATTCCGCAAGGTGTGGCGGGCCTCCGCCTCTACGAACCTGTGAGTATAAAAACTGATTTCCACCTCTGCGGGTCTCACAAACCCTGGTATGTTTCAGAACAGCGGGACGGAAAGTGCCTGAAGTCAACAAGGGCCTTGCTCTAGGCAGCAATGAGGCTGCTCACAGACCACCACCAGGGGAAGAATACAGGACTCACTGCAATTCTGGGGGACTTCCAAAACCTTGAGGACACGTGGGCTGCTCTGGAGCTAGCCCAGGTCACAGGAAGAGCACTCTCTCCATTGGGCCCTCACCCCAGGGGAAAGAACATTCCAGGTGGATGTGAGTCCTGAGGCCGAAGGAAGGAAGGAGCTGGACAGTACTTACCTTTTCAAGGAGCGCATTCTGCCAGAGCCGGAACATCATCATGTACGTCCTATCCCGGGCCCCAAATGAAGTGAAAAAGTGCTAGATGGAAAGAGAAAACAGCAAGAAGTATCACAACAGAAGAGTAAGACTCATAATAGAACGGAGGGAGACAGGGTGCTTCATCCTTTTAAGAAAAGCTACCGACTTTATCCCCAAATACTATGGACTCAGTTATCCGTGACCATGACACCAAGGTACTCTAGTGACAGGGACCAAGTCCCCAGTGGCGCTAAGTCCTTTGGCATTCACCCCTGCTTTCCACGGTGCTTCTCCCTCTGGTTGGAGGTTTTCATCTCCATAAAACAACTTCCTTCACCCACCAACTGGACCCGGGTTAAGTGGTGAGCTGCGAACCAGCCTTTGGGAAGGAGAAGACAAACCCACTAACCCACTCACCCTTTCATTCCCTAATTCAACAAATATTTGAATACAGTATGTGCTGGGTACCATTTTACATATTTGGGGTATGAGGGCAATCAAAACAGAGACTCCTGCTCTTACTGTGCTTACATGTTAGCGGGGACCCTTTATAACACGCGGGAAGGAAATGATGGGGAACCAGATGTTACTGAACACGATCTAGGGGCTTTACAAATGCTGCTGCTTTGTGTAAACCGCATATGAGTCTTGGAAAATACACGTAACTGCTAACGCCTAATAAAGAGAAACAGGCTGGTGGGATCAGGGGACTTCTGTCATCACAAGGCTGATTGAGGCCAGAAACAGAATTCAAACCAAAGACTATCTGACCCCAAATCTCATGGTTGTTGCCACTGAACTGCCCAAGTCCAAGGGCTCTGCAGACCTGTGTTCAGCTCAGGTCTAGTCCACCCCTAGCCCTGAAGCTCTTAGTTTCCAGGTGCTGGTTAAAGGTCAAAGATCCCTGGGTTTCCTCGGTCCAAATGTTACCTACCACCTGTCCCCCATGCTGACGTGGACAATCCACTTCCTACGGGACTCTGCTAATACATAATAACAACTGACATTTACACAGAGCTTTGCAACTTAGCGTTTTCAAATCTGTGATGTCATTTCAAGCTTCTGCTATAGGACCGACTGGCTCGATGTCACACATGAGAAAACTTATGTGGAGAGAGGTGACATACCACACCCACAGTTACAGGACTCAAATTCAAGTGCTCTGGCTCCAAGTCCAATGGATAGACCTTCCGTCCTCACCCCTGCTCACACTCCACATACCCTGATCCAATGGAGGTGGTCCCCACGATCTGCATCCCCTTACCGTCCCCCACCCCCATCCTCCTGGATAGTCCATATTCATGCAGCTGAAGGACAGAAATACAGAAGTGGGTGGGGCTTGGGGATTAGGGAGGCGGAGAGTAGAAGGTCCAAGATTAGATTCTATTTACCTTTTCTGAGTCAGTGCAAACTTGAATGGCATTGGGAATGAGGCGAGCCGTTTTTTCTTTAGTCATGGAGCAGATGTCTTTCAAACGGACGGTCAGCTGGCACCCCCCACAGGGACGGAGAACGGATAATAAGCAAGAAGAGACATTCATTGAGTCGGCCACGAGTGTTGACGTGGCACCAGTTCAGAGAGAGGAAATCACATCTCAGTCTCTTTATTTCTAAACCTGGAAGGGTCCCCGTTGGCGATCATCTGGTTTAGCTCCCTATTTCACAGAGGCCACACAGTGAGGTGGTGGCTGAGCCTCGCCTAGAGCCCAACAGTGCCTCAGCTGCTGGTCCAGGGAGCCTTCCTTCTCACATCTACACAGTCTGATCAATGTGCACAGACCCCATCACTACTTGGCACTTATAGAAACACAGGACAGTGACAGGGTAAAAGTCACCAGCTTATCTCTTCCTGCTTTATTTTATAAGATGAGGAGGCAGAGAAAGAACAAAGGACTAGCCTCATAAGACACAGCCAACTAGCTGGAGAACCCAGATAACGTACAACCTGGACCTGAGTACCAAGGCCAATGCCCCTTTGACTCAACTCTTCTACCTTCTGCGGTGACTCCTGCCAAATATTTACCTGCATCTGCCAAGAGCAAATGCTCTCATGCTCTCTTCCATACCCAAGAGGGAGGGAAGGGAAGACACTGCAGAGATCTCTCCCTCAAGACTCAGGCATGTGCTTTTATGAATTATGCAAAGGTGTGGGTAGAGCAGGAAGCCAACAAAAGGGGCAGAGTAAGGGCAGCTTGCTCAATGCTAGCCCAGGGACCAAGCCCCAGGTCTTTACCAGAGTTTCCCAGCGGAAGATGTTGCTGTAGAAGCATATCCAATTTTCAGAGAGGTAGAGTCGGCCCTGAAGAAGAATGTCTCTTTGGAGTGCACATGAGTAATCTGTGGTAGGATGGGGGACAGAGGAGCTCAGAGACAGGAAACATCTTCAGCAAACCACTACAAATGAGGTACGCTATCCCTCCCACCAGCACCGCAGGAGCCCCACTGCCTACTACTGACTAGGTGGGTGAGACACTTGAACTAGTGGCCAAGGGAGTCCCTAGCAGCCCATGTGACGTGAAATACGCCACTATTGCCTAAAGGCAGAGGGACGGATGAGGTGGCGGAGGGAGTGAGAAAGTCAGAGGGAGAAAAGACCAATAAAAGTCAACTAACACCCCTCCCCCATCCAAGTTACCCCAACCCTTCACTGCTGGGCCATCTGCAGAGGTAAGAGTGGCAGTGACTCATTCCAGGTTGGGCTCTCTGGAGAGGCCGCCAAACACACGTTGCTCAGCCCTGAGCCTCAACCACAGGGCTCAGTGCTCTGGACATCCTCTCTCCCTGCTCCCAGACAGATGTTCTTACTTGGGTTGGCTCTTTGGTGGGGAACCTCAAGACAGAAGCAGCCTGGGTGCTGTCTTTGGGACGCTCAGACTTCCTTCCCGCTCCCACCTGCTGCTCCCAGGTCCCCCAGCTCACCAACAATGAGGCGCTCCGTGTCTGGAAGTTGCTTAAAGAGCTTTCTGAAGTCTTCATTTCTCTGCTTATAAGTTGGGCTTAACACCTGCGTGACAATGACCGAGGTTAGCAGGATGTTTCCAGGTTCTGTGGGGATGGGGAGGAAGATGCAGGAAGAGCACCTGCTTGCATGTTTAAAAGGCAAAGATGAGCCTCTGTTATCCCACAGACCCTAAGCGGCTCGGTGAGGCAAAGGGGGCTTTGGTATGTATGGAAAAACACCAGGGAGAGAATCGGACACTCCTGAAGGGTTTGTATTCAGTGTCCATCAGTGAGAAAATGTCAAACATACTAAGCAGGGTCCACATTAGATCCCAAGAAGAGAAAGGAAGGAGGAACACCTCCAGGGAGCTTCCTGGGACCCACCACAAGAGCTATTGTTGCCCTGTCTTCTGCCAGCAGGAAGTACCACCGTGACAGCAAACGGGGGCCCAAGAGGGCTCCCCCCAGGGCCCCCCCAGGACCCAGAATATGATGCTCTTCAGAGCATCCCTCGGAAGCAGTGGTCGTGACTAACACAGGAAGTACTGGGCTATGGATGAAACTGACGACTAGAAAAGAAAAATCATAAAATGTAAGGCTACTACGATGTGACTTGTCAATTATATCTCAGTGAAACTGGGGGGGGGGCGGGGGAGAACTGTACTTTACCAAGGCTAGATTTAAAAAAAACAAAACAAAACATAAAACTAGTACTAGAATAAGCACAGAAGGAGAGAATTTAAAAGCATGTCTGGTAACTGGAGGCACCCAACCTTGATTCACTCCCCACCCTTTATAAGACTATTTAACCCAACCCTTCCATTAGCGATGAGGAAATGAAGGCCAGAGAGGAGACCCCAGCCCAAGAGTCCCCAAGCTGGTCAGTGGCAGATTTCTGCATCCCTGGTCCTCTGCTCACCTCTCCCCACCACCTGTGCTACCAGATGACCCTGTGCCCACTTAGCTTTTTGGGTGCAGACCTATACCCATAAACTGCCTTCACAAATCCTCCTTGGAAATTCCATCAGTCAGTTGAATAGACAGGAAACCTCATCCTTCCAAGCTTACAGTCTTAAAATTAAAAAAAAAAAAAAAAAGAGGAGGAAGAGGAAGAAGAGTAGTAGCAGCAGCCTGTGGATGAAAGGCACCCAAGCACAATACATGAAGACAAGAGCACAATCCAGGAAGAGTCATGCATCACGACAGAGAAACATCTGTACCTGTACAGGCGTGTCGCTGACCGACCTACTTATGCCAGGAGCGCACCAGACTGTCCTGGTGATGGTGACAGATAGGTCTTGGCCATTTACACTTTCCACCCACTTCCCTGGGGACCCACTGGCGTATAGCTGCAGTGGCGACGAGATGCGCTTCAGACGGTTGATTTTTGGCTTTTTGCAAAGCTAAGTGGCCCTCGAGCAAGCTTGGGCTGTGGCCTAACCGAGTTCAGGGCATGCGCTTTGACTAGCTGAGCTAAGTGGCCTGATGGTGTTTGTGCCAGAAGAAACGGGAATATTTCAGGAAGTTGGAGGAGAGAGAATGGCATGACTTCAGTTTGCAGGAGGATTTCCAGGAGAGAGACAGAGAGAAGACAGTGCTTTCAACTACTCTGTCTTTAGTTAATTTGAATTTTAAACTTCTGTTTTGGCTTGTTTATAAAATGATTTATACTTGCAGTAGTCAATGCCCTGCTACCTTCCCCCAAGCAATGCTATGCTATAGAACCCCAAACTTCAACAATCACCTGCCATATGTTTGAACCAAGTATCAGGGACACTGGGAGAAGCCAACTTATCCTCTGACTTCTATGGCTAGAAAAGACCTCTGAATACACACTCCTCTGGCCCACAGGTTGATTCCAAACTGATACTGAGATAACCAATCTAACTGGCCCCTTGGCCTTGTAGAACAGAGCCCACATATTGAAAACCCTTGCCTGCCCACCTGATCATCAAGAAATTCCTAATTATGTCTAACTGACCTCCCAGAGCTACAGCTGAGTGAACGTGAAATGAGTCATTACCACACCAAGCACTGTCATTAGCCCTTCACATACATCATTTCACTGGACCACAGATTTTTTATTTTCCCATTTTATACACTAGGAAGTTGAGGCACAGGGAGGTTAAGCAACTTGTCCAAAGTATGTGGTTACTAAGGGGGAGAGGGGAGCATGAACTGAGGCAGTGTGACCCAGAGTCCTTGGTCTGAGTCACTGCTCTATGGTGGTGCCTCAGGGTCTTGGTCCCAAGAGGGAAATGGATGCCTCAGCAGAGCACACTCTCTGGGGGATGAGATGTCCACCTACTCGGGGGCCCCACTAGTCTTTCATGTCCACAAGTGGTTTTTTTTTTTTTTCTTCCCCCAGGGGGTTAGTAATAAAGCTTCAGTTTTTTCAAGATGAAAAAGTTCTGGAAATTGGGTGCAGAACAGTGTGAATGAACTTAATGCTACTGAACTGAGAAATGCTTAGAAATACTTAAGATGGTAAGTTTTAGGTTCTTTACCACAATTAAATATCTTAAAAAAAAAAAAAAAAGTATTGGGCACCTGCGTGGCTCAGTCGTTAAGCGTCTGCCTTTGGCTCAGGTCATGATCCCAGGATCCTGGTATCAAGTCCTACATTGGGCTCCCTGCTCAGCGGGAAGCCTGCTTCTCCCTCTCCCCCCCCCC